GGTTTAAGACAAATATAAGCACACACACTTAAGCATTCTTATTTCACTTAAGTATTTATTGCCTAGCATTTCAAAAACTAAAAATTTTTTCAAAAACAAAATAACTAGGATTTACTGGGTTATCTAATTGTCATGCTGCTTCTTTGAACAAATGTTTTGCTCATCAGTACAACTTTCTCACTTTTTTGCTCATCAATACAATTTTTTCACTTTTTACCAAGCCATGTACAAAAAAAAAAAAAAAGCTGTGCTCCCACTTTACCTCTGTTCCAATGAGGTATTAGCACTTTCAAATCATTTGTCTTTAATTGTGATGATTATCTTCATAATGTATATCTACACTGCTAATTTTCATTGGACCTTATTGGACTCCCCATCCTAAAAATAAGGATTTAACTTATCCTGGTCCCCCTTACTCCTTCCAGTTTTCAATGTAAGAATTAAAAAATAATAGGGCTTTAAAACTGAAATAAACTTAAAACCATATTCATCCATCAGTGTTGTACAGCATCTGGATTTCTCCCCATATAAGAATGCTCTATTCTCATTTCAAATGCCCTTCTATATGCTTTTACTTTTACATTGTCAGTGTTGGTTTTGTTTACATGCTTGTCTTCCATGTTTAATCTACTGGCTGACTCTAAAAGCTGTAAATGAATAAGCAGCATTTAAATTGCTAAAAAATATTAAACTGGGCCCAAATCACTAAGAATAAAACCCACTTCTGAGTTCTCTAATACCTAACTTTAAAAGAAAGAAAACTGAATAGCACATTATACAGTTTCGACTTTGGGGTGGGGGGGGGGCGGGGAGGGTGGGAATAAGAGCTTAAAAAAAAAAAAAAACCTCTATCAAGCTGAGTTCAATGAGATTTCTTAAGTGGTTTGTGCTCTTGAATAAGCACAACTTGGGTAAGATGTTTTAAGTATTTATTTTCATTACTTAAACCTGACTGCTGCATTATATTAGGAAAAGACCACACAGCATATAATAGGCTTGGTGAAAATATTCTCTCCATGGAAACCTGACAATTTTCCTTCCTTCAGGGAAATGAGTTTCTTCAAACCAAGTTTAAAGGATGGTACATTCAATCATAATTGACAATGTCTGCTAGAAAGTCTGAACATTTTGGCTGCAGAATGAGTATAACAGACCCTTGACATTTCAAGTCTAAGTCCTGAGATCTTTGCCCAAATTCAAAAATATTCCTGAATAAATTTATACAGGTTCCTGGTTTTCTTCAGAATTACACTTTCATCTTAGGTCATAAAGTTTTTTCACACATATTTACACATCCAAATTATTAATATTTTTAATTCCTCACATCGAACAGCCATTGCATTTGTTTGCTAGGGCTGCCATAACACATACCACAAACTGGGTGGCTTATACAATGGAAATGTATGGTCTCCGCTCTGGAGACTGCAAACCCAGGCAAGGTTTGTTCCTTCTGAAGGCTGTGAGAGAGAATCTGCTCTGGGCCTCTCACTTAGCTTCTGGTGGTCTGCAGGCAATCTTTGGCGTTCCTGGACTTCTACAATCGTCACCTTGATCTCTGCCTTCATCTCCATCTGATGTTCTCCCTATGCATGTCTATGTTCAAATTTCCCTCTTATAAGGAAATCTGTCATATTGGAATAGGACCTACTCTAATGACTTTACCTTCACTATCTACATCTACAATGACCCTATTTCTGAGTTACAAGGTACTGAGAGTTAAGACTTCAACATATGTCTTTGGCGGGAACACAATTCAACCCATAGCAGCCATTTGCACATAATAAAGTTTGACATCTTCCAATCACTACATACTGTCTGGATAACTGCTGAATTTCGCATGCCTATAATAGAACCTGACACACGGAAGGGGCCCAATAAATATTTGTGGAACGAATAAGTGAATAAATGCATAAGACTGTAAGAAAAGAAACCGTGGCTGCTGAGAGGTTAGCCTACATCATTAGCTGAGTAATGCTGTTCTGCATGGTGTTTAGCAGTAATTAGAATTATGCTTTGGCAAAATTGCAAAATACCGCATATCCCATGAACCTCTAAGGTCACTCGTAGTCAAAATCACAAATGTTAAAGTTCAAAAATGTCAAAACTCATAAAACCCAGCAAATATACATATTTTTATTGATGATTTCTTTCTTAAGGGAGAGATACTAGAAAAGTATCAGAAATAAGGTAGTAAATGATTTTGATTTAAATAAGTCATGGAATGTGTTATTATTAGAGCAAAGGTCACTAAATGAAACAGTATCAGCCAGATACATTACAATATGGTTTATGATAAGCCATTGCTAAATGGATCACTAAATCAAGTGATTCCTTGTTAGAAGAACTCTTCTGCTATTTTAATAACTAAACCTCTTTGGACAAGGCCCAAGATGAATTGTACACACTACAGTAAATTGTACACAACAAGCCTCTATTCTTCTTACACTAACATTTTCAACATAGGCTCTCAATAGATAATGCCTACATAACAAGGGATTGAAGATATTTTATATTTCTTCTAATCACCTCATTCAAATCATAGCGTTTCCTGGGTCCTTGGCTTTAAAAAACTGTATTACTATAAATTCTGGATAGGTCTACATTCATTTCAGCAGAAGCATCTTGAAATGTTGAATTATCATCTTCAATTTCCTTCAGTCATTTATTGTAGCTGCCAAACTGAAATGGTGCACCTAAAAGGCAACACTAAACTGAAAGCAAATAATAAAAAAGTCTCTTAAATGTTTCATTTATAAAAGCTTATTTTTCCCACCATCAAATTTTGTACACTGTCTGAAATATATCACTTGACAAAATTGACATCTTGCATGCAGTTATTCTGCCAGGATACATTTGCTTAACTTCCAGGCTTATGGGGGGAGGGGAGGGAGGTAGCATCTTTTCTCAACCTTTTATGAACAGAAGAATAATACAGAGCTAAGTTGGTTTCGGTTTTTGGCCCGGGTGGGGGGCGGGGTGCAGAATTAAAATTAAACCTCAATTGCCAACACATATCACTGTAGCTATCCCCTTTTCTAGATAACTTTACCAATCCTTCCTAGCTATATTAAAAATTATGCCATAAAATAAACACTTTAAAAAGGCACATCACGTCAGAGGGTGGCTGCTCCGAAGAGTAGTCTATGGCAGCTCACTGATAGGAAAACATTTCTGCAAACCAAAACCATTCAAAGCATTTTGTTGAAATCCTGCTCACAAGCAACAGCAAATTAACCAAGTAGAACAAGTCTACAAAATTCTATTATAAAGTCCTGTATACTTTTTCCCCTAACATAATTGTTAATGACAACTATAAAATGCTAATATATAAAATAAACAAAATGTGGTTTGTATTTCCAAAACCAAAGAGTTTTAGACCAGGATACAGGGAAAAGGAAATGTTTTTATTAGTAAAGTACCTTCAAATCACATTTATATAAAATAGGTTGCTACCAAGGTCATTTGGTAAAAGAGCCACTGAATTGATCCAGGCAAGTTTATGAACTAAGCTATGAGGGAAGAAAATGAGATGCCAGTGCTTCCTTTTCTTCCATTTATATACCAAACTTAGCTATTACATGAGGGTCAGAATCACTGTTCAAAATCTTTCTCAGTTAATGTCACTTTGTAAAGCCGAAATTTCTGATAATTTATTGCGTAAAATCATAGTTTAACTATATCATAAACTGAGTGATTCCTACAGCATCGTTTCCTCGAATGACCTACTTAAGAAATAAGTATCTATATTCAATACAATGTCCATTTTTGAAACATTTCCTACATTTCTAGTCAATTTTAAAAGCCTTATTTAGAAATAATACCAATCCATTTCTAATAGCTAAGTAGAACAATTTTTTAATCTGCAGGGTATCTTAAAAACCAATCAACTTGACATAACCTCCTAATTCCAGGAATGTAAACCATAATTCATCCTTCAATTTTCCTCTTAACATATTCTACTTTACTAAAATGAATTCCCATCCTGCAACTATGAAACAAGAAAATTGTACTTAAAATAATATTAAAAAACGAAATCTCATTATTTAGTATTAGATTAATAGTCTATAATTCTAATCTTAAAAATATCTATAGCTATAACCTCTCCAACTTGTTAATTCCCAAAGAGAGTAATAAAAGATGTGATTAACATCTAAACTTAGAGCAGACTGTCATTTGGAAAAAACTATGTTAACAATAACTGTACCATAGTCAAATAGATCAACCCATCACCCTTTATGGTTCTAAGGTTAATGAGCACAATTTGTCATAAATTTTCTAGTAACTCTGAAAAAGTGAACAAAAAGACTACTTCTTTCATAACACTTTATAAAAGTAGAATAAAGGCTTGAGTTGTCTTCCGTGGGACCTAGCATCGTATTTGGCAATGTAAATAAATGTCATTAAATATTTGTGAAATGAATAAACAACAAATGAAAATAAAACCCACTGCACTACTACCATTCAGCTCCTTATTATGTGCCAGGTAATAAGTATTTCAAATTCTACATACTAAAATGGAATATGCTCAAACTGTTTATTTCTACTAAACACTGAAAGAATTATTCACTAAGAAACTCCAACCTGGGGCGCCTGGGTGGCGCAGTCAGTTAAGCGTCCGACTTCAGCCAGGTCACGATCTCGCGGTCCGTGAGTTCGAGCCCCGCATCAGGCTCTGGGCTGATGGCTCAGAGCCTGGAGCCTGTTTCATATTCTGTGTCTCCCTCTCTCTCTGCCCCTCCCCCATTCATGCTCTGTCTCTCTCTGTCCCAAAAATAAATAAACGTTGAAAAAAAAATTTTTTTTTTAAATGATAAAAAAAAATTAAAAAAAGAAACTCCAACTTAACAGAATTTAAAAGTTGGATTTTCACAAACCAATAACTTGGTTAATGATTTTCTGTAACTGTATGACATTTTTCATTTAACTTTTTTCTTTATGAAATTAGAAAATATACAAAAATTCAAGTTATAAGTTCCTTTGTAATAAACAACACATATATATTACACTTGGTCATAAGAACATTTATTTCTGTCATGAAGAAGTTACTTTTCAAAAAAGCTCAAAATTTGAGAGGATGAAGGTGAAAGAAGGAATGAAATAACTATAAATGTTCTTCCACTTCAAAAACTGTCTGACAACTGAGCCAAAAGACTCTGCATCTATCAGTGACTTCCTCTTCATGTGTCATAGAAAGAGTTCAACATGCTTTACAAAATCCATTACATTTTAAGACCGTTTCCAATATCTTATACCATAAATCAAGAAATCCATTTATTCAAGGTTACTTATGGAGAATTAATCACAAAGAAAATTTTAACAACTTCTTTTTCAAAAATTAAAGTACTTTACTGTACTTGGCATTCCTATACATAATGATGTGGACTCAAAGACTGAAAGCATTAAGAGCATATAATTAAAGTTCAAGGACTTAGACATTAAAAAAAATTTAATACATATAATTCTCTGTGACAAATATTCCAGAAAAATAAATCAGGATATAAACACAATATAATCTCTTCTGGATTTCTCTTCCCCTTAAGTGGCATTATATAACATAGGAAGTTGTTTCAAAATACTTGTATGTACTTGATATCACCTCAAAAACATGTAATCCAAAAATCTGAAAAAGTGAGACCAAGAGAACTATGGCCATAATGCAGAAGGAACAAAAACTCATGAATTTATTCCTAATGATTTCTAAAACCTATCTTCCTAATTTCAAGGGCAAATTTATACAAAAGAGAAAAATAAAGTCAGCTATACAAACTTTACAGCCTTTATTGATAGGATATAGCTATTATGCCAAAATTCAGTCATCAATATACAACCTCATTTCCCATCTGAAGTTAATGAGAATATATTTTACCTTAAATGGGACATAGAGGCAAATTGCCAAGAATAAAAATATAACCTTAAAGTCTTAATTTCACACTTCAAATATCAAAAGAAAATAGTAATTCCCAAAATCATGAAAACATGAAGTAACAACATAGAAAAAAATGGACATTTAAGTCATTTCATTCTCTTAATATTATATAGTGAAAACAGATGTATTTATAACTTCAGCCTTCAGATAGCATACTTCATAAAGTCATTATTCATTTAAAATAGACAAATGTTTACAAAAAACATTTAACTTAAATTTCATAGTTGCTTATAAAATGGTACTTGAAAGATTGACCTGTATAGGGAAATAAGAGTCTTGTCAAGAAAGATGATAAACTATAAATATAAAATATACCACAGTGTTAAAAATCTCATAGTGGTCTATAGGAAAATCAATAAAGATAACAATCTTTCTGGGGAAAAAATATTTAGCATTACAAATTTAAAATGTAAATTTTATATATGAATTCAATAAGGAATACATTTAAACCTTGTATTGCCACATAATCATCTATTTTGTGGAAAACAATAAAAATGATGTACTTTTTCAATAGGTGTACATCAAAACTAAAAGGCTAATTTTTACTTTTTCCTTTATTGGCAACTTTGGATGCATTTTTAGGTTTTGGTTCCCAAAGGGCATTTTTCACAAATCTTGAAGCTGCACCTCTGTCCAGCTTGCCGGCCTTTTTCTTGTCTGTTATTTCCTTGACTCTGTTCATGTATACTCTGATTCTTTCCTTAAAGATTAAAAAAAAAGAAGAAAAGAAAGCAATAGATTTACTAAGCTGTTCACCACCACTAAGTTTTATTATACTATACCTCAGTTAAATTCAACAGATATGTATTTATTGCCTATTGAGTGGTGATAGTAAGTGCAAGTGAATAGGATAAACATGCTCCATGCTCTCCTGGAGTTCATAGTCTGGGGGGGAATAGACACTAAAAAGTCATTTCAGAAGTGTTTTGATGTTTCAAAAGAGGGAGAACTAGACTAAGACATCACTACAGAGATAAACATTGAATTCTTTATGTGTGGTTATATATTTAACTTAGCATTAACCTAAATGCACATAATAACTCTTACGTATCTGAAGTCTATAATCTAAAATAGAGCTCTCATATACTTGCAGCATACAAATTAAACTGGAAATTTTTCTAAACAGGAAATGGATGAAGTAGTACTTAACTATTTTTTTATTTTACTTTCTAGTATCACAATTAAAATAAGCAAAATGAAAATACAAAATCTTTTGTTCAATTTCATAGTTTTTGATCAATAAGCACACAATACTTTCTGATGAAAACTATAGTTCTAATCAGACTTTACAAGGTGAAAAACAGAATAGGTTGTGCCATATCACTTTGAATCTTCTGAGACCATTAATCAGAATAAAGGGCTATTCTATACTTTGACTGGAAAATTTTTTTTTTTTAACTTTTTTTTTCAACGTTTTTTATTTATTTTTGGGACAGAGAGAGACAGAGCATGAACGGGGGACGGGCAGAGAGAGAGGGAGACACAGAATCGGAAACAGGCTCCAGGCTCTGAGCCATCAGCCCAGAGCCTGACGCGGGGCTCGAACTCCCGGACCGCGAGATCATGACCTGGCTGAAGTCGGACGCTTAACCGACTGCGCCACCCAGGCGCCCCTTGACTGGAAAATTTAAATAAAGGGGATGAGAGCCATAAAATAGCATAGTAAATGAGTGATCACTGATGAAAAGCAAGTTTCATTAAAATAATCAAAATAGTTACAGAAATTTACACAGAAAAATGCAGACCCCTAGAATTTTTTAATTGTGAAAGGCTGACCACTCTGCTCAAAATCCTCTTATGGTTTTCTATTTCTCTCAGAGTAAAAGCCCAAGTCTTCCCAACACAGACCCACTCCAGCCTTGCCTGGAGTTATCTTCCTCAAATATCTACATAACCACTCCCTCTCTCCCTTCCAGTTGGTTCAAACGTTAATCTCGTTAACAGGCGCTGCCTTTACCATTTAAAATGGAATCCTACTCAAGCACTCCAATCCCCCTTACCCTACGCTATTTTTTTTCCCCCATAACCTATAACTTTCTAACATACTACATACCACATATATTTATTATTTGCTTATTATGTTAAATGCTTGTCTCCCTCCACTAGATAGACTGGCATCTGCTGCAAGGGCAGTGGTATTTATCAGCTTTATTTACAGAGGAATCATCTTACTTGGATATAATGCCTGGCTTCCAGTAAGCACTCAATTATTTGTTGAATAAATAAACTGGCTATTTGCAATGCCCTTCCCCATTCATGATATACATGATAAATAGATTTCCTCTCACACGCTGACTCTGTGATCAATTAGTGATGTCTGTCACAAGGTCAGAAAAGGGGAATAGGTTTATGTATGCTTTTTTATGTGCCAACTCTCGTCCAGAATATGAATGTACTCCTCCATAAAGTGGGTTCTGATGGAGAAAAAAGATAATAATTTTATCCTTTTCCAATGAAAGAATCAAGTATTAAAATACTACAAATAACTTTGTGTTAAGGAAAAATGAGGAACTTTACAAATGTAAAGTCCATATCAGAAAATTGAAAACAGATGATACATACAGTGCACCCTCCTTAAGATTTTAAAGCCAGTACCACTGGTCAAATCAAGATCTGTGCCTCATACAGTTTTACATTTTTGCTGTAAGTATTTTTCACAATTTCTACATTAAAAATAAATTTGTTTTTCCCCCCAAGAACTTTAAAAGAAGAACGTGTCTTACTCCCTATTTTATAAAATTAAGACAAGAGCTCTGGTTTACTCATTTTTTTTGTAAATGACCAAGTACTCTAGCAAGTTGTAAATAACATACATATCAACACCTTGACTTAAAAATAATAATACAGTGTCAAGTGTATTTCACATATTTATCTTGTATTTTATAAACACAAGGAATAAATGTATTAATATTCTTATTCATAAAGCCAAGTCAAGAAGGTAACCATAAGTTTGATTTCTAATTTTTTCTTTCATATTGAATGATTTAATTTTTGAAGTCAGCAAAAACTTCAAGATACTAGACCTTATATACTGTACTTATACATCTAAATGGAATACAAAGACAAACCTAGAAGATTTATTACAGGTTGTAAATATGTCACTAATGCAGAATTACTGGACAGTACACATACAACTGGTGCCAAAAAAGCTTTTAGCTTTGTTGCTGAACTGGATTCTTTACTGCTGAGAAAATGAATTAATGGAAGAATTGAAAAGGTGGGGGAGAAACTTTCCCGTCTTTGCTAGTAAATCAACTAGAATATACTTTTAAGAATTGTGTAAGAGTTTAGAAAAAAGGGGGGGGGGGCAGTTGTAGAGATGAACAGGATTTCAAGAATTTATAGAATAAATAATATGGAAGTTATAAATAATTACTTGAATCGTAACGTTCTCCCATCCAGAGATTTATATAATATATGGAACACAAATTCTCTGACAAAGGCAAAGAAAAGAAAAACTAAAGACATGATGAAATCTGGCTCACTTTCATAATTAGGACTCTAAATAATTTTGTTCTCCACAACTAGTGTGATAAAGTACTATGACTCTGACTTCAGGAATACCACAACAAACAGTCAAATAAAAAGAAATCCACTGCAATCTTACCAATTCCTGCTTTACTGGATGTTCCTTAGGATTAACTCCCTGAGTTGCCAAATAAACTACAAGACAAAGATTTCATGGAACAAAATGGCATATATATTAATTGCGAGCATTAGTTAAAGAAACTCTAGTTACTCACAAAAAAGAAATATCACAAAAAAATGATAAATTAAATCTTATTTAACCTCTATGTAATATTAAATTTTATGCGGCTCATGGACATCTGATATTCTGATTTAAAAGAAATAAATATCTGACTATAAAAATTGCCATGAAGTATAACAATATATAAATTGCTAGCATTTAAAAAAGAAATCACCTTTGACATAATAATTTGCTTCATAATTAACTCCAAATTAATATACATACCCCAAAACATTGAATTTAACGTGTAAGCAGAAACTAAATCCACTTTTGCTTGTTCAAGGGGGTCCAACTATTTAATAAAAAAAGAGAGAGAGAAAAGAAGTACATACAATGAACACATCACATATTTTAAACTTTCACCAAATACAATGTATCAAAGAGATGTTTCTTTCACTTCCTATAATCCAATAACCAAATGATCTTGAAATAATTTGCAAAAAAAAAAATTGTTAACCAGAGATTTTTGCCCACAAATTTTCACTTCGAGGTATCATCTTTAGTTAGACAAAGAATATGTATAATCCAAGAAAAATTCTTTTCAATTATTTTAATTTCAGGAGTTATGACCTGGGCTTTGTATGTCAAAAGTAATTTATCAATGTAAACACTGTACATGATGCATTTATGTATAAGAGGCAGGCTAAAATGCTTAGGCAATACCAAAGACAGAAGAAACATAATGAGATTTGTTTTAGACTGTCAAAGTCAATTTACTCTTTTTGTCCTATAGGGTTTCCAGAAACTCTGATAACATCATTGTAATACTTAAAAGGTCAAAGACAGAGTCTGTCAAAAAGAGCGTTTTGAGTGCTCCTTTTTTTCTCAAAACCACGTCAAAATAAAAATATAGTTAGGAAGTATTTCCTAAAGTTGAAGTTCTGGTTTGTTTTTTCCCCTTAAAAATACCCAAACACTTGAAATAAAGGGGAAAAGGAGCACATCGCTAATCTATGTCTTCTGTATGTTTGCATAACACAGCACTGTGTTTTCTAAATTACATTTGTAAAATACCTTCTGCAACAACTCATTTCTAGAAACAGACATCATGGTCTTCAGCATCTCATCCACAGCACCAATGGAATTTTCAAATGTTGATAAATACTCATGAATTTCTACTGGGTAGTCTTCATTAATTTCTTCACCTGCCATTATGACCAACTGTAAAAAAATTAAATTCTTAGAATTCATGGGAGACAGACTGCTCTTTAGTTTACAAAAACAAAATCAATACGTCGTATCACGTGTTTAAAAAGTGCTACAAGAGGTAAAACCTGAAGATAAGTAAACAAATCTTCTTAGAATATAATTCTAGAGCAACTACCTTCAAACTTCCCCTCCTCAAATTGTTTGAGGTGGGCAAGGGGAGAAGAGAACCCACCCAAGTCCACTAATGCTGTACATATTAGAGCCTCAATGTTTGTCAAGAATAAAAGACATGACCACCAAACATGGATTATCATTAATCAAAGTCCTACATTTAAAAAACTTTCTGTTGAAGTTAAAAACCAAGCAAAGCAATGAAAGTATGATGAGTATATCCTATCTCTATGGTTGCTGAAAAATCACAAGTAGAGCAAAAACATATATTTTAGCCCTTTTAAATTAAAAAAAAATTTTTTTAATGTTTAGTTTTGAGAGAGAGAGACAGACAGAGAGAGAGAGAGAGAGTGAACAGCCCAGAGGCAGAGAGAGAGAGGCAGACACAGAATTCAAAGCAGGCTCCAGGCTCTGAGCCGTCAGCACAGAGCCTGACACGGGGGGCTCAAACCCACGAACCACGAGATCATAACCTGAGCTGAAGTCCTACACTCATCCAGACGCTCAACCGCCGGAGCCACTCAGGTGCACCATAAATTTAGATGTTGGTCTAGCAGCATGGTATGTTAAACTAAAAAATTAGAAAACCTTGGTCTGAATTATCTTATGACTATCACTAAAATCATTTTGAAGCCTATATATATATATTCTTTAAGCCTCTTTAAAATATTAATAACAAATTCAAAGAGTCCATTAATCACAGCAGAAAAGAGGAAACTTCAGAGGAATAAACTATATGGTTTTCATTTAGGCCAGAGTATACCTTGACAGCCCATTCTTTTAAAATTCACAATTGGCACAAAAACAGACACATAGACCAATGGAATAGAATAGAAACCCCAGAACTAGACCCACAAACGTTTGGCCAACTCATCTTTGACAAAGCAGGAAAGAACATCCAATGGAAAAAAGACAGTCTCTTTAACAAATGGTGCTGGGAGAACTGGACAGCAACATGCAGAAGGTTGAAACTAGACCACTTTCTCACACCATTCACAAAAATAAACTCAAAATGGATAAAGGACCTGAATGTGAGACATGAAACCATCAAAACCCTAGAGGAGAAAGCAGGAAAAGACCTCTCTGACTTCAGCCGTAGCAATCTCTTACTCGACACATCCCCAAAGGCAAGGGAATTAAAAGCAAAAGTGAATTACTGGGACCTTATGAAGATAAAAAGCTTCTGCACAGCAAAGGAAACAACCAACAAAACTAAAAGGCAACCAACGGAATGGGAAAAGATATTTGCAAATGACATATCGGACAAAGGGCTAGTATCCAAAATCTATAAAGAGCTCACCAAACTCCACACCCGAAAAGCAAATAACCCAGTGAAGAAATGGGCAGAAAACATGAATAGACACTTCTCTAAAGAAGACATCCGGATGGCCAACAGGCACATGAAAAGATGTTCAGCGTCGCTCCTTATCAGGGAAATACAAATCAAAACCACACTCAGGTATCACCTCACGCCAGTCAGAGTGGCCAAAATGAACCAATCAGGAGACTATAGATGCTGGAGAGGATGTGGAGAAACAGGAACCCTCTTGCACTGTTGGTGGGAATGCAAATTGGTGCAGCCGCTCTGGAAAGCAGTGTGGAGGTTCCTCAGAAAATTAAAAATAGACCTACCCTATGACCCAGCAATAGCACTGCTAGGAATTTATCCAAGGGACACAGGAGTACTGATGCATAGGGGCACTTGTACCCCAATGTTCATAGCAGCACTCTCAACAATAGCCAAAATATGGAAAGAGCCTAAATGTCCATCAACTGATGAATGGATAAAGAAATTGTGGTTTATATACACTATGGAATACTACGTGGCAATGAGAAAAAATGAAATATGGTCTTTTGTAGCAACGTGGATGGAACTGGAGAGTGTGATGCTAAGTGAAATAAGCCATACAGAGAAAGACAGATACCATATGGTTTCACTCTTATGTGGATCCTGAGAAACTTAACAGGAACCCATGGGGGAGGGGAAGG